TACGCATTTATTTATTAATTATCATTTGATTTTCATAATAAATAAATAAATTATTCGGGTTACTAATGAAAAATATTTTGAATATTTGATTTATTAAACACACTATAAACACGTTATACAAATTTGATTTATTTTCTTTTTAAAATCATCAATCAAGTATATTTTACAAGTTGATATTAGAAAAAATATGACAACTACTACGACGACAAGTCCAGTTATTAATACCACAACTGTAAGTAGTGAACTTGTTTTGGACCCTAGTGATAATGCATGGATGATGGTATCAACAGCATTTGTTTTAATGATGACACCTGCTTTAGCTTTTTTTTATGGTGGTCTTGTTGATAGAAAAAATATTTTAAATCAATTATTTTTATCATTTATTTGTATGGGAATTGTATTTGTTCAATGGGTTTTATTTGGATTTTCATTTGCATTTGGTCCACCAGTTAGTGTTGGTTTTGGTTCATTTGGTGATTCATTATTAAGATTTGGACAACGTTTAGATGATGCTTATAGTCCTAATTATCCATTATTAACATATGCAGCATATCAAGGAACATTTGCAATTATTACACCAGCACTTATATCAGGTTTATTAGAAAATAAAATATATCATGTCTAAAATTATTTTTCTTATCTAATAGGAGCAATTGTTGGAAGGATGAAATTAATTCCTTATATGATATTTATAGCAATTTGGACAACTGTTTGTTATGATCCATTGGCACATTGGGTTTGGGGAGAAAATGGTTGGTTAAAAGATTTAGGTACATTAGATTTTGCTGGTGGAACAGTTGTACATATATCATCTGGTGTGTCAGGTCTTGTTGCTTCATTAATCTTAGGAAGACGTATTGATTGGAAACCTCATGGATCCATTGCTCATAATATTCCATTTACAGTTCTTGGTACTTTTTTATTATGGGTTGGTTGGAGTGGATTTAATGCTGGTTCAGCTAATGTAGCAAGGTTTATTATTTTAATATTTAATTTAAATAAATGATTTATAGATTTTTCATTTTAGTGGTCTAGCATCATTAGCATTAGTAAATACATATGCAGCTGCAGCTGCTGGATTATTAACATGGGTTATAATTGGTACTATTCGTGGTCAAGTATCAGTATCTGGTGCATGTATCGGTCCAATTATTGGTTTAGTTAGTATAACACCAGCATGTGGTTTTGTTCAACCTGGTTGGGCATTATTATTTGGAATAATTCCAACAATTATTATTTATTTTCTTCTTCTATATAAACATCACATGATATTTGATGATGCATTAGATGTAGCTGTGGTTCATGGTTGCGGTATGTTATTAGAAAGAAAGATTTTTATGAAATTATAAAAAAAAAGGATTTAGATTTTAGGTGGAATTATCGGTGCATTTATGACAGGATTATTTTCTGAATTATCAAATAATCCAGGTGGTGCTGATGGAGCTTTCTATGGGCATCCAATTCAATTATGGTATCAAATAGCTGGAATATTAACTGCTATTGGTATGTTGATTAAATATTAGTTATAAATAAATAAGATTGATTTGTTTATCTATAGGTTTTGCTAGTGTATGTACAGCTGGAATTCTTATTCCATTAAAATATACAATTGGAATTCGTTTATCACCTGAAGAAGAATTGAGAGGAACTGATTCGATTGGTAAAGCAACTTTTTATTTAAAAAAAAGATTTTATTCATATTTTATTTAGTTCATGGTGAAAAATGGATACTAACTGACAAACCATGTCATATAACAACATCAAATGGAATACCAGCGAACAGATCTCAATATCCACCATATACAATTCACAATAACTGGAACTCAAATAGAATTTAATCTCGTTCACGATTTATTCATAAATAAAACAATTTAATTCAACTTTGATTAACTATATCATAATGTAAATATAATGCATCTCAAACACTATTCGACTATTTTGTACATATAACTCATCTTTACCAGTTTAAATTTAAACTATTTTTTTCATTCGTTAAAATTTGTTTACAATTATAAGATATTTCAAAATATAGTTTTTGTTTTTGAAATTATCTCTAAATATTCTCGTCTAACTACTTATATATTTATTAATCATCTTTCTATCGCCTCTGTTTTCCTACCAAATATACAGAAGAAAAACAATATATTTATATAACCTAATATTAATCCTTGAATTTATCTAGAAAATAATCTGAATAACATACATATTTATTCATTTTATATTAACAACCATGAAACGTCGTGCACACATATTCGTTTATATATGAAAAATATTGATTACGTCGAATGCACCTTGATCAAAAAAAAATACTATAACGAGTACATAAAGAAACACGCAAAAACTTCAAAGAATTTATATGAAGAACAAAAAACAATTTTAAATCTCTTATAAATTATAAGTCAATATTTTCAGGTTTAAAATCATGATAGATTATTTGTTTGTGTTATCATTAAATTATATTCTATGATTCCAGATCTATCTGAATAAAAATACATGAAGGTGCATAAATCAACTTGGTCATTGTAAATAATTTCATGAAGTCTAAGTACGATGTTTAGCTTCGATTGACACGAAGAGAGAGAGCATTAACTATAAGTTATGAGACACATTTTTACCTTGTGCCAAACCTTATCTTTGTATATATTTGGCATTCCTATTCATTAGTTTCATTCTGAAAATGAGGGAAAAAACTCTTGCACTGTACTGTATATTTTCTGTTTTATTTTGAAAAAAATTACATATATAAAATTACATAGAACTTTAAATTTCAATATGACATTTTACTTTGGCTTTGGCTTTTTTTCGAAGTTTCACTTTGTTTTTTTCATAAAAATTACAATTTTGTATGGAAAGATATTCTAATGTTCGATTATATTTCAGCATATAAATTAAATATTTAGTACTAGAATTATTAATTAATTTATTATCTGAAAGATTGAGCCATCGAAGACTTTTATTATAATGTACAAGTGTATTAGTTAAATTTTTTATTCCATGATTATCAAATAAATTATCATATAAAGATAATTCTATTAATGTTTTATTTATTTTAAGCATATCAATTAAATATTGTAAACCTTCATTGGAAATACCATTTTTACTTAAATCAAGTGTACGCAGTGTTGAATTACTAATTGTCAATACAACTGCTAATGAATAAGCACCAATATCTGATATCCAATTTTTCGAAACTCGTAATATCCATAATGTTTTATTATTACATAAAGCATCGGAAAGAATTAATGCACCATTTGATGTAATTTCATTATAATGTAAATCCAATAAATGACATTGTTTATTATTTATTGCTTGTTCAACAATAATTTTCATATCATGATCATTTAATTTTCTTCGATATAAAAATATACAATCATCACATGTTAATAGATGTTTTTCTAATGAAATATTTGTGTATGGAATATAATTCATTGATGTTGTTATGATTTTATAAGAGGTATTTAATAAAGATACTAAATCATTTGATGTTTGTGAAAATTTTCTTTTTTCTAAATTTTTCAATAAAATTGATGATTGAATTTCTTTTAATTGTATAACATGTATATCAGATGATGGAGAATATTGACCAATAATATGAAATTGTGTACCAGCAACTAATAAAACTTCATTTTCTTTTTCATAATATGAATGTTGTCGAATATTTTTTGCATTTAAACATTCAATAGTAAAAAGTGTTCGAAGACCTGTTTTACCACAAAATTCTTCTCGTTCTAAAACATTTATTGTCATTGTACATGATGAAAAACTCCACCAAATAATATTTTTATTTTCCGAATATAAATAACTTAAATCAAGTTTAACACCTCGATAAACTGTTTGTTGAATTGATGGTAAACATGATAATGCATATGACAAAAGTTTTAAATAATATAACCAAGGTTTTAATAATTCTTCATTTTCTTGACGTAAAATTTTATTAAGAATATAATATAATGAATTCGTATAACAATCCCATTCCATTGTATAAAGCATAATTGAAGCTGATTCATCGGATGTTAAATTATCTGATGGATTTTTACATCGTTGTTTAACGATCCAGACTTTTCGTTCTATATCAGGTATATATGTTGTTAATGGTTGAATAGCTTCTTCAAGAGAAACTAATGGTATATTTTCATAATCTTCGAAAAATGTTAATATTTGTGAAGATTCTTCAGTTATATCAGATACGCGATGAATAAGATTAGGACCAGAAATATTTTCTGACGTCATATTTAATATTAGCAACAAAAATAAAAACAAAATTAAACAAGCGTAATCATTGTCAATGAAATGCCTTTAATATGTCAGGGTTTGTTTATGTAACTCACATGTATTTATAACATATCCTTGCGTGACGCTGGTTTTTTGTTTCATCGGAGAACAAAAAGAAAGGTTTTTGTTTCATATAGTCGTTTTGTATAGATTATTCACATCGATAGAGATGCGTTAGTAAAAACAAGTTATTTCATTGGATATAAATATTTGTTTATGATCTAATTGGCTATGAATGAAAAATACAATAGATAGATATTCTTTCACTAGGATCTTTGTCAAGATATAAATAGATTTTCAAAATTTAAGTAAAAGCTAATATTATTATTTTGTATTATAATATTTGTTCAAGATAATGTGGAAAATGAAACAATAATTAAGACGAAAATATAGAAAAACTTTAACAAAACGACTGAACGATATGAAGAGGAATTAATTTAACGTTATTTAATACACGAAAATATAATCAATATAACACGTCATCTCTACCGTGAAAAGTCATCTATTCAAGCAATGTCAAGTGGTCGATCCGGCACACGTATTTTAAACTTCTATAATAACTCCACAGCATACTTCGACAAACTTATTAATTTCTGTGACAAACATCATACCATAGAAGAGTCATAACAAGAAGAAGAAAAAATTAATATTTAATCTGCACTTATTTTCTTTCAAAGTAAGCCAGGACCAATATGTTCAAACCACTCAAATAAAGCGATTTATATATATAACAATAATATGATATTCGTAGAAATATGTTGAAATTTTTCTTTCTTTGAATATCATCAGCAAATGACAAGCTATTCGAACATAATAGATATCTCTGATCGATAATTAAACTTCGAACATACAAACAACTCTCAATTGAAAATACATTGTTTCTATTATCGATGTTATAATTATATTTAAGTTAATATGTATATATTAATTAACAATAGTTAATCCAGTTCAATTTTTTTACTGGTGCTGTTAAACATCGTGTAGGTTGAATAACATGAACATTCGCTGTTTTTTCTACTTGATTTATAGAAAAAGCATCTTGATAAGGAGTTGATTGTGATGTTAATGAAGATGTTGTTCTTGGAATTGTTGTTGTTGTTGTTTGAGATAGTGAATAACTAGTCATATTTCGTGGTATATAATCGATTCGAGGATGTTTTATTTGTTCTTGTTTAAGTATTTCTTCGATATGATTAATTTTTTCAAGTAATTCTTGACAATAAGTTAAATTGTCCATTGTTAATGGTGTTCGTCTATCTAATTGTTTTATTTTATTTTGATTTCTTTTTGCTTGTATCATCATTTTCATAATTAATTGTCGACGTTTTTCTATTACAAATAAATTATGTTTATGTTTCATTTGTAATAATGTACGTTCATCTAGATGTCCTTCTTTTTCACGTTCATCAATAACTTTAACTCGATATGGTACATGAGATAAACATGGAAAACGTTGATGAAGATGTTCACCAGCTTGACGAGCAAATAATGTTATTTCATCTCGTGCACGTGATGGATCTCGAAGAAGACGATGAAATCGTTTTTCATAAAATGCTTCAACAGCAGCATCTTCATCATGAATTGATGCTGTAGAATTTCGATAGATTGAATTATCCGAATGAGTATTCCTAATAAAAGATTGATGTATACATGAGGAATCCACGAGTGAGTTTTATTTATATAAAGTCTCCCTTAGAAAGATGTAAACTGAACATACTTAATATCTGGTGTTGATGATGTAGTTGGACGATTGATAAATTCAATTTTAATATCACGTGCTGGATCAAGTGCAAGAAAATTTTTTTCTAAATCAACAAAAGTAAATGTTCGTGATGTTTTCATATTCGATTCTTGTTCAATTGTATCTTTATAAATTTGAAGTTTTTTGTAATAGGTTTGTAAAAATATTTCAAATTTATTTTCATGTAAAGATTCACGATATTCATGTTCAAATTTAATTTGATCATGTTTATTTTTAAAAAAATGCGCAGATTTAAGAGCTTGTTCTAATTGAAGAAATTTGTATAAACGTGATGAATATTTTTTTATAGGTTTTGTTTTTATTTCTGTAGATAAACTTAATGATTGTCTAATTGGTGGTAATGGTGATTCGTTTTCAACATCTATTGTTTCCTCCAAATCAGCTTCATCTTCTTCATTTGGTATTGAAAATTGATACGGATCCAATGGTAAGAAACGATGTGAACGATTTTTTATCTAAATATTTCAATTCTTATGAGTAGAACTTAAAAATTCGTTGATTCAATTTACTTCATGAATAGTATCTGTTGATGATACTACTGTATATACATTGCTACTTTCTTGCTTATTCGTAGTCATTTTCGTCGGTAGAATTGTTATGAAACGAGAAAATGAAAGAAGAAATCAATTATTTTTTATGTCTTCTTTTTTTTCTTTGTTAATAAATCAATGATGAACAAAGAAATATGTATATATGGTTTCGTTGAAATATAATCAAAAGAAATATATGGTAATAATTTTTATTTCTTTTTATTTATAACTTCCTACTATTTTCAGTCCGTTCGAAATACCTTAATATCTCAAGAAATTAATTTACAATTCTTATGATACGAAAAAGTTTTCGAAAGCATCCAGTCAGAATCGTATAGTATACGAGTATCAGAATATTTGCATATAAATCAATTCTTGCTATTATATTATACAGCATAGTTACCATTCTACAATCGATGATATACCTAAGTAGATCAATTTCTATGACGTTTAGTCAAAAAATGAAGACAATAGATCCCATCGTTATTTGTAAATGATATATCTGTAAAGTACTATTCATCGTTGAAGTATTTGAATTTGAAAAATATGTCATAAAGAAAATATGGTGCATTTGTAAATCAATATCTTGTTATTGAGTACCAAATGCACTATAAAGAATTCAAAATGTTTCTTTTTCATTTAAATTCCAATTTAAAAAAAGCTTAAAATATAAATTGATAACACTGCACTTAAGTTTTTCGAATAGAATGAGAATAAAATGAGTTTTTTTATTCATTCTATTAGATATTATTATTTATTAAAGCCATCTGCTACGTTTTTATATACGCAAAAATAGGGTAATTATTACTCATTAGGATATTCTTATTATTTTTGAAGCAGATGTGCCCCTTAATTAGTAAAAAGTACAAACTTTATCTATAGAATTCAAATCGTATATAAGAGTCGAATTATTTAACGCATTTATTATACGATATTACAAAGAACCATGGCTAAATTATTGTATTTTGCTTTAGTAAGTACATAGCTTTGTTTAACTTTTCGTTTTAATAATTATTGAGTCTATTTACTAGATGTTCATGTGTATGAGTGGTGTGGTATCAGCCCATGGCGGTGGGAAAGATTCGTTTATAAGTATACTTCAATACTTCATTCCTTCAGTAAGTATTTGTACAAATGCAACTGGATATTGGAATCTTGCTACAACTTCTATTAATGCTTGTCAAGCAAATGCAACTTGTAATGCTGTTTTAGTTGCACGAGAACCTAATACGGTTGCATTTTTTGGTAGTCCAACTAATAAAGCATTAGCAACCAGCAATTGCCCAACTTTTGCTGCTAATTTAGTAACAGCAATACAAGCAGACTCAGCAGCTGAATGTGCTAGACAACAAATTTTCAGAACCTTGGTTCAGCAAATATGTCAAGCAGCACATACCGCAACTGGTAGTATTGGAAAGAATGAGATAGATGCTATTTGCCGTGGTGAATGTCATCATTAAGTTTTTTGATTTTTCTTGATAATAAATAAAGAAGAAAAAAACCTTTTGAATGAATTTATCTATGAAAAATATCGTGACTAATTTCTTTTCGATCTTGAAGGTGTGGGTGTGAGTTTTATTTTTTCTTCAAAGCATGCCCATACACATCTACATCCTAGATGACTTGCACAGTGGGACAGGTTATGCATGAACATAGTGTATGAGAAAAATGAGTTTGAAACGAAAAGATAAAGGACGAATTAATCATGGGACAAAGGGAGTTTGGGATAAAATATAACGGTATGAAATAAATGGAGCAAAATATAATGGGACGAAATGTTAGAGAACCTTTCTTTGTACAAATTTCTATAAATTTGCTTTATTTGTTCTGACTTACACAACATATTTAGCGTGCTACGATTCACTTAAAATTTAATAGAACATTGTTTTCTTCTCAATCGATGATTTATCTAAGTAAATCATTTTTACTACGTTTAGTCAAGAAATTAAGACAACAGATTTCATCGATATTTGTACTGAGTACAGAATATTCTATATAAAAAACTTGAATGTTTTTCTTTCATTTTAAATTCCATTCAACAAAACTAAATATATAGATTGATAACCCCGGAATATAAGTTTTTTGAGTACAATGCGAATAAAATGATATTTTTATTTATTCTATTGTACAGGTTGATTACGTTATTTTTAATAGTTCTGTGTAATTTGTTGTATTTATGTGAAACATCGGGTGTTTCTAATTTTGATACAGTTGAATAGAGCATTGACTACTCTATTGAATCATATACGTTCATTTTTATGTCGTTCGATTTTAGCCCAAAAAATTTATAAGTCTCAGACAATAACCAAAACATTTTTTTGCAGGAATAAGAGATTCTTTTTTCTAAATTTGTATTTCTATCAGGTTATATGTCTTTGCAGAAACGGAAAAACATACCAAAATATGTAGCATGAACAGTTGCACAATCTACACATTAAAGCAATTTTATAATTGTGAAAAAATGCTTTGGGACCAATTTTCTCATGGTCGGAATTTAGCTGCTCAAAATTTTGTCAATTGTAAGAACAAAAACTGAAAGTAGAAAACAAACGGCCTTATTTAAAACGTAGAGCTTTTCATGCTGCATTTTCTAATATATTTTGTTTTAAATAAACGTGCTGATACAAGAATAAAAAATGTCCTGTCTCTCATCTGATAGCTACTGTTTAAAAAATTTTTTTAGTTTTCTTGTGAGATCTATAAAGGTTTTGAACTGAAACCGAAGAACATAAAATCTAAATTATATGATTCAATACAGTAGCCAATGCTTTAGCCAACTGTATCGGAATAAGAGACTCCCAATATTTCACATAAATACAACATATTGTACAAAACTATTAAAAATAATGTAATCAATCTATATAGTATTGAATATTAAAGCCAGCTGCTACGTTTTTATATACGCAAAATAGGATAAAGTATCATTCATTCGGACATTCTTATTTTTTTTTGGAACAGATGTACCCTCCAATTAGTAAAAAGTACAAACTTTATCTATAGAAATCAAATCGTATATAAGAGTCGAATTATTTAACGCATTTATCATACAATATTACAAACAATCATGGCTAAATTATTCTGTTTCGCTTTAGTAAGTGCATAGCCTTCTTTAACTTTTCGTTTTAAAAATTATTGATTTTATTCATTAGGTGTTCATGTGTATGAGCGGCGTGGCATTAGGTCATGGTGGCGGTGGACACGGAGGAGGTGGAGGGCTTCTGAGTCTAATTCAAGCAATTGTTCCTCAAGTAAGTGTTTGCACGAATACAACAGCATTTTCGACGCTTCTTACAAATGTTTTTACTACTTGTCAAGCAACTCCAAGTTGTAATGCTGTTTTAATAACAGAATTACCTAATACGGCTGCATATTGGAACAATCCAACTAGCAAAGCATTATTAACTACCAATTGCCCGACTTTTATTGCTAATTTCGTAACAGCTCTAACAGCAGACTCAACTGCTGAATGTGCTAAACAAAAAATTTACAGTGATTTGAATAAGCAAATACATCAAGCAGGACATACCGCAACTGGTAGTGTCGGACATAATGAGTTGGATTTTAAAGACAGCTGTGGTTGTCATTAATAAATTTTTTGATTTTTATTGATAATAAATAAACAAGCTAATGTGTTTAGCATGAATTTATCCATGATAAATATCACCACTAATTTCTTTTCCATTCAAAAATAATAAAGAAATACTGAAGTATATCTTCATTATCTTCTCTTCAAGCATTTAAATTAAAATCTTCTATATTATTTTTTTTACCAAAAATTCAGTATACTGTCACAACTTGTCTATGGTAATATCTATCGACAAAAACATGATTCATAAATATTTTAGTATTGTACTATTTGATTCATCAAAAATACAATTGATTGAAACGTACTAGAATTAGTAATAACATTTGATAGACAAAGTTGAATAAGAAAATTATTGAAATTCCGAAGTGAGTAGTTCATCGTAAAGATTTTATTTGAAATTAATCTATCATACAGAAGAAAAAATTAATTCCAGCCAGAACAGTATATTCTATCGTGATGTATCATCGACTAGGAACCATATATTTTATTACTGTATGCATCAGGACCGATTGCTCTGAAATCTACAAATTCAGTGCATTAACATCGACATCACTACCCTTGGATATGACATATTTCACATTAGTTAAATGACAATGAAACCATCTAAAACTAAATTGACACAGAAAAAAAGTATTATCTGAAACATTCAATCTAAATCTTTATATGGAATGAATATTGTATAATAATGTTTATAAAACTATCTAAAAGTAGATTTTATACCATTTACAATACCATTAATTACATGATAACCGAAGTTCAAGGATATTTAATAAATAATTACATACACATACATAACATTGAAGATTATAATGAACGAACATATTGAAGGTCAATTTACAAAGGCATTTAGATTTATCTGAATTGATAATTATAAAAAGAAAGAGAATGACGCAATACTTGTAAAAGAGAAACTATTATCGTTCGGAAAAAAAAATAAAATCAATCAAAGAGTTTTTTCCTTTTTTTCATCTTCTATCATTTTAATAAGATATTATTCTACTTATGTGAAATTCAAATCGTCAATATAAGTTATAGTTATAAAAAGAATCGATTTTATTTATTAATAATAAACAAACAAATGAGAATATTTCTCAAAAAATAATATATTATAATTATAGCTATAAAAGGAAATGTTGCATTCTAATTTGCTTCTCAATTTATATCTATCAATATCTTTTTTTCTTTTATTTGAATTTACAAATAACAAGAACAATAATAATAATAAAAACTTGATTTTATGGCTCAAATTCAATTGAATCCATTGGATGCGTAGATTCAGTATGTTCACCATTAATGACTATTGTTGGATGTTTTCCAACATGACGATTCTTATTACTATAATGATCAATACGTCGATTAGGCATTATAACAGGTTGTTGATACTGACGAAAATGTGCTTCAAATAATTGACTATCATCATCTTCTTCATTTGAATAATATTCATCATCTTGTTCTTCATCTCCACCACCAACAAATATATTTTGACCTGGTCGTTTAATTTGTGCACTTGTCGGTGGTAAAGGAGCTGAAGGACGTTTTATTGGTGATACAATACGATCACCAGGTGATGTATATGTTGCTGCACGATGTTTCGTATCTATATTACATTGTGGTAAATCTTCATCAAGATCCATTATATTTGACATTGTAGATGAAGCATAAGATTTATGAAGTGCTGGTAAAGTTCCACGTTGTGTTGATGCAAAATGATTAAAAACTTGTTTTTTTGAATGTGTTTGTTTTGGTGACGCTAAAATTGTTTCTGTACGAAAAAATGTATTATTATTGTTATTATTATTCATGGAAGAATTATATGGTACAGTTATATCGGGTAATGGAGGATATTTTTTTACAGGCACATCAATAGAATTATGATCTGAATTATTTGGAGTAATAAATGATTGTTCACGTACAATTTCACGAAAATCATCAATTGTTGAACGAGTTATAGGAATAGTAGCAGTTGTTGTTGTATTAGGATGACTTGGTTGATATACTGAAGTATTGGTTATTGTTAAACGTGGAGCGTTATTTGAATTATTGGACATAATTACATTGAATTATCTAAAAAAAATAAAGACGATACAGCTCGTAGTACATGTATATTCTATTTCAATTAAAGATTGACAAAAAAAAAAGAAATCATCGAAATAGTAGTATAGAGAAATAATCAGTTTATTTGTATTTAAATACTTCTTTGTAAGTCTTTATCGGTAAACTTCTATATGTTCCTATTGACGAGTTTGTTGTAAGCAACATGCTATATTAAACAAAGAGAAGTATACAAATAAAAAATACTCATTATTTTATAAGTGATGAATTTCTTCTTTTTTTTTCTTTGACATTCTTCTACTAATTTGTTTTATTTATAAAATCGTAATACAAAATTTAACTGTGAAAATGAAATCATTTTTTGAAATTAACTTTGAACTCTATGTATAAAATTTTTCCTCTGTATTAAAAAGAAGTTTTGTTATGAATAAATACTTTATACTTATGTGCGCATGTATGTAATCGTCAGTCGGCTACCGAACAAAGAAAAAAAAAATAGAAGATGATGTGGATTGAAACTTTTTTTTTTCTTCTTTTTCTTTCTTTCTGCGATTTTTCAATGTATATTCTTTCTTTACAATAACTAGAAAAAGAAGAAGAAAATTGGGTTACTAAAACAACAATAATAACATGAGCAAAAGACAGAAAAAAGAAATGAAGTAAACAGAAAATCTGTTCATATGTCTTTTTTTTCAAAACATTAAAATTTAACAAATAGAAAGAAAATCATTGTTAACGTTTCCTTTAAATCATTAAAATATTTTTTTCTTCTTTCTCCTTAGAAAATATAATATTCATAGCCTATGGTAAATATATGTATGAAAAAAAAGGTAAACTCATTTGAAATTATATATATAAATGTGTATTTAGATCAATAAAAATAGTTCACATAACACGTTCTTCATTTATTATTTAGTTAATGATATTTATTGAAGAGAAAAATATTATCTAATAAGTTTTTCGAACTGCTTGTCGAACTAAATTAAAAAATTCTGTTGTATCTATTGCTTGGATAAAACTAACATTTCGTACATAAACTGGAGCAAGTAATTTTTGCCAAAGATGAACAGTGCCATAAGATGGACTACTATAAGCAATATCAATATCAGCAAGTGCAGAAACAGCATTTGTTATTAGATTAGAATGAATAAGAACAGCGGTTGCTGCTTCATCCCACATTGGAAACTCTGTTGGATAGTATTTAGCAATGAGTGTCGTGTAAGGTGTAACTATAGTAGTAATGTTATCAATATAAGATGAATTAAAAGTAGCCATCTGTGCACCTTGACCAACAAGAACAATGGAAGAAAAATCAGCAGTAAGAACAATTGATGCTGCTTCAGGATCGAAAAGAAGATTGAAATCTGAATTAAGATCAGCTTGAAGAAGTGAACCAGTTACCTAAATATACACAAATTAGTTATTTTATTTATAATAGAAAATATTTACCTGAGCAAGATTTTTATCGAAAAAACCAGCTTGTACAAAGATTTCTTTGACATTACTTGCAAATGTTGAATTTAATTTTATAGCTAAAGCAATATTTGTCAATGGTCCAAGAGCCAAAATTGATACTTGATTAGGATATGTATGTACTTGCTCAATAAGAAAATTTGCTGCATGCATATCTTGAGCTGTTGTTGTTGTTGGAAGACCTTCTGGTAAAGCAGATAGAACAATACGTGTTGGATTTCCACCAGTTGGATCCGTACCCTCAGCTTCTGCTGTTACATTTTGTTCTTCAAATGCTCCTTTATATGGAATTTTGCCATGCATTATTTCCCATGTATTTGTACGGAAAGGAGTATTTAAAAGTGGATAAGTAGCACCTTTATAAACTGGTATTTTAGTGAGATTGCCCAATTCAAGAAAACGTAATACATGTAATGTTTCTTGATCTACCCAACTATCGCCAGTTACAACAGTGATACCAAGAATTTCTGCTGCAACATCCAATAACAGTAACACTGGAATAAATGATGCTGAACCATTCCAATCATTGTCAACTATAACTTTATTGGAAGTTTTCGTTGGAGTTGGAACAAAAATTAGAAAGCAAAATATTAAATAACAAAATGCACTCATTCAAATGATCAAGAGACAATAAAAACAAATATAATAGTCACAGGTGAATAAGTTAAAAGTAAATATCTATCACATTTTCTTATCGTAAATAAGGATTGACTATTCTTCTACTTTATTTTATATCTATCACGTGTATGTACATTGATGTATACTTTTTCTTTCTTCTATAATACATCATCAATTTGACTATTCTACAAATTCATAAAACAAATAAATTACTTTCATTCGATCTTTTTTCTTTGATTTCAAAAAAAAAGTTATCAAATATTATTAACAATACATACTATGTTTATTTCGTGGAGTTATTCCTTTGGTTGGTAGAAATACTGGTATTAATGAAAGAATTATTGTCGACACAACAGCAACAATACTTAATAAAATACAACAAATAACAGATATTTGCTCATATTTCATTCTTATTCAACACGTTACTTTTACCTAAATAAAACTTATCGAAAAATACGATAATATGTATCATTACACTGTAAACGTAAACCATGATTACTCAGGTATGATAATGACACTGATAAATAACAGATACAATATTTCTTTCTTCCTATCATAATTATTTATGACAGTTAATATTTTTTTGAATCCACGTTTTATAACTAATATCTACTATCTACAATATTATTTATTATTCAACAAAGATTTGCAAAAAAAAACATTTGAAGTTATATGAAACTTTCTCTTCTTCAATCACATAATCGAGAAAATCTCTTTTTTGATTCAGGAAAATCTATGGCCAATGCAAATGTTGCAATAAATCCAAATAATATTGAAGGGATCAAATATTCATATTTACACATAAAATTCAACTGTATTGTATCATTATCAAATGAAATCATACTTATAAATATACCGACTAATACAAATAAAATTGATAACCATTGACAAATTTTTAGTTTACAATAAACTTTTGTTTGAATTTCACCTCGAAATCTTTCTTCAATAAATCGACTTTGTCCAATTAAAATAAAATAAAGACTAATTATCACATATAATGAAATATTTGAATACCAAAGTCTCCATAACAACATCCCGATAATTAAATTCGATAGTATTGAATAACCTTGTGTTATATGAATATATTCATTTTTTAATTTTGATAAAGAACATACTCGTGATTGTGAATTAGTTATTAATATTCCAAAAAATTTGTTTGTTGATCTACCATGACAACATCCATGAATAATACATCGAAAACGACCAACACCTTGTATCCAAGGACTTGCTAATGCATATGCTGATAATATTCGAATAAGAGGAATACTATAAAACCATGAAACAATCAATGATCCTAGTATACCACCTATGATAAAACCAAAATAACCAAATGGTCGAGATAATCCACTTGATCTTTCAATATATTGACCTCACACTGCTGCCATAAATAAAGATGATAAATTGATTAATAAAACACCAGAAATATCTCCAACCAATGAAAAAATAATCAATCCACCTATTGATGCACTTACAAACACATAAATACTTGAATTAATAATACGTAATCTACCAATTCTATAACATGACCATGAATTTGATAAATTCTCAAAATAATTTCTGATATAAATCCATAATCTTATTCGTTTAACACAAATGAAAAATAACAAAAAACCTCCGACAACATCAAGAATACTATGCATTCCTGTTGTTATACAACTGAGAGATATTAAAACTGATAAAATATAAAATATAAAATTGTATTCCGAATAAATCCATGAATAATAATATGCGGATAGAAATGCCCAAGAAACATGAAATGATGGAAATGCACATCCTGGACCATCAAAAGAACGTTCATATAATAACATTTCACCTAAAATTGTTTTGGGAATAAATTGTTTTGGTGGTGCAACAAATGGTAAAATAAATTGTAAATAAATTCCAATACTCGTATTCATTAAACTATCAATTATAAAACAACGAACTTGTTGTTTTGTTTCTAAAATGAATGGTAAAAATAGAACATAAGGATAAGTCAAAAGATAAAATAATTCTGTCCATTCAATAACTGGAATATTATTTTCAAATATAAAATAAGTTGATATTGAATAAGAAGGTGGTCCAATAAACAGAAGAATTTCATAGAAGATGAACCAAGGAAGAAAAACTAAACAATAAATCGATATGATATCTGCATATTCACATTTCATTTTCACATTTTCTGGTATATTTAATAATGTTTTCCAAGTATATTCTTGTCTAAATCGTTGTTTCAAATCTTCATTTTCATAACCATAAACAAGTGAAATCCAAGATAATGTTAATAAAGGAGAAACAAACCAAAATCCACTTTTAGATTCATAATACATTGATAAACCAAAACATATTAATGAACTTCCAATATAAATTGGATGTGAAAAGATTTTATAGACACCTGTCATGACTAATTTGGATGGTGGATATGCATTCATTGGAAGTCCATCACCTTGAAACCATAATTCTAACATTGCAAAAACTATTAAAATTATTCCAAAAAAATTAATTAATAAAGAAACAACAATTGAATTTGTTGTTGGTATTGATAGAACAATTAATTTTTCTGTTTGTTTTGACCAAAATATTAATAATAATGGAATCAGAATTGTAAACAAAAATCCATAAAACATTTTTCCAAAATGATTTTTTATCTCTGATTTAAAATTAACATTTTCATGAATAGACCAACCTTTTGCAATTAAACAATTCTTTTCATATAATTCACTCCATGTTTCCCATTTACATTCATTTATATCAAGAAATTCCAATGGAAAAAACTTTTTAATCCAAATAAATCTATCAAATATTGTTTCACTTAATAATCCATTTCGTAAAATATATTTTTCTATTAATAATAAACGATAATTTCCAAATTCAATCATTTCATCATTAATAATTCCATCAGAATATTTTATTCCATTATGAAAAATGAGAAACTTTTCTTCTTTACCAATCCAACGAATCCAAATAATATATTGATTTTCATATAAAAATCTTCCCCATCCTAAAATATCAATGGGCATTCGCCAAGGTTTTATTGTCATTGTTAATTTTTCTACATAACCTAAACCTTTATTTATTTTATTATTAACATTTATTTGTGCTAATCCAACTGGTATAAAACACTCCCATAAAATATATCCATCGGCATTTTCAAATAACTTCTCACAAAAAATACATTCACTTTTTCTCTTCCATTCACCAGATATTCCATTAGAATTAATTTCAAAACAATCATCATCAAATATTGGTGATTGATAATTTAACAATGTTGATCGAGATATTAGAGTTTGTTTTTGAATAAATTGTAGAATATTTGTAAAATTAATTTTCAAAAATTTCCATTCTAATTCTCCAAGATAAATTATTGTTACATCATCAGTTTCTTCATCAATTATATCAGCGTACTATTTGCAAAGATAAAAATCCTTCCTTGTATTATTCATTTTAGATTGAGATCTTAAATAAAAATTTTATTTCTCATAAACTTTATCTAAACTAAAAGCAAATGAGAAAGAGAGAAATAAAGATGAATAGGTTAGATTTTGTTGCATCGAAATTTTCTATAAAATAATAAAAATAGTTTTAATGGAATTTTTTTGTCTATTTTATCTCATAAAATATTTAAGACAACTATCTAGATATTCACAACACCAATAAGTTGTGGTATTGTGAATGTATTTATGATGATAACAATAGTCATCAACCAATCAATATTTTCTATCTTGAGTAGAGTTGCATTCATCGAAAATATATTGATTTCAATCTACACGATATATCAGTAACGCATTATGATTCGTTTGGTGTATTTTACATGACTATGAACTGTGTTTTCAAGTTGATATAATTTAAATATTTATTTATTATTCATAGATAAAAAAGAGATGAAATTTTAAATAATTAAAGTTGTTTAATCTCACAAATCACAAACGATTGTATTGAGAAAACTCAAATGAATTTATTGATACTCACGTAGTAAAATAACAAGTATCTCAATAAGCAACTTCACATTTCTATTATTGAAATAACAAATAATATTTAACAACTATTAAACTCACCAGCTATGATTGTTTCATAAATCAAAATTCATCTATAATTAAGTTATATTAATATTTATGATTAGAATCTCTATGACAAATTTTATTTTTTTAACTATAACTTGTTATTAAAGCCTTATCAATATTTGTATACATATAAATATTTCTTAAGAATGAATATGAAAAGTGAATATTTAGAAGTGATTAATGTTCTTTTTCTATAACACGATAAGTTAGAAGCTTAGATATTGTTGACAACAAATGTGAATAACACTATGTTGACATAAAACCATATCGAAGTATGAAACAGATAAAAATATGCATGAATAATATATAGAAAATAAATAAGCATTTATTAGTCTTTGCCCTATTTGATCATAAATATAAATAGAATGATTATTTTGTTTGACATAGTATTTCTATTCATAATCTTGAAAAAGAAGTGTATAGTTAAATCATAATATTGATTTATAATAGAATAACGAAAAAAAAAGAAATGTATAACATTTAACCTTGATTTTGATAGTCATTCACTAATTAATATTCAAAATAAATTTTTTTACCTGTTCATCTCACTCATTCACATTCGAGTGCAATCATATGTAATTAGACAAATCAGATAGTATGAAAACAACGAAAATATGAGATTAGATGACTACTTACACCTCAACATTGTAGATTATAATTTCAAAACAATAATTTTAGAATTACATATTTATTCTTTTAAAAAGACTGAAAAAGTAACAAGGCAAATAAAATTAATTAGTAATTTAAAATTTTGAATTTTTTGTATAAATTATTAATTGTCATATGACTTCAATTGATAAAGATATCACAAAAAAATGCTAAAATAAACACACATTCAAATAATATATACCGGTACGCAAATAATTTTTATGAAGATCACTCTATTGGAGTATCTTCGACTTCATATCTACAATTTGGACATGTATTTCTCATTCTTAATAATTCCAACATACAATCATAATGAAATAAGTGAGGCACAGCATCAGAACATGGTCAGCGCGCATAAAACTGATTGATTTTCAGGTCTTCCATACAAACTGTGCACGTATTTTGTTCCTTCATCATATCCTCATTTACAACTTGATGATTATGTTCATGTTCCAAGCGAAATCGAGCAATAAATTCAGCTGTAGCTGGACTAGTAGAGGCCAGTAGATTGTTCAAGTTTTCAATAGTGCTTTGTCTCTCGATCTTGAAACGTTGATGATTGTTTTCTTCATGGATTAAAGTTGATAAAGGACTATTATGTGTAGCTAACATATTTACTCGAAGACGTTGTTTATATCTAGAAAAAAAGAATTTCTATTTAGGAGAAAGTGTTTTCGAAGATAAATTAGTATTTTTCAGAGTAACATTCTTCAGAATATTTAATAATCTATATCCTTCATTATTGATGCAGATCATTTTAATCTCATACTTAACAATAGCTTCATGAAATGAATGAATGTCAATCATTTCATTTACTTGTATAGGTGAACTTTAATTATTATTTGAACAAAAAAATAATATTTAATACATCATGTAATCTATTTTGAATTATTTTACAATTAATAAAGAGAAAATACCTATCTTGTTAAAAAGATGTCTTCTAATAATCAATCAAACAATGAATTAGAGAACATGATAACTATTCAACATAAGTTATCTTATAACAAATAATTTTCTATACCCATTATAATTTATATGAATACAAAGATTTATCTTTGCATTTTTCTTCTTTTATATAATTCAATTCAAAATGCTTTGCTATATTTTATCTTGTCAATGAATCAATTGAATTTTGTCTTGCCGGTGCTTATAAGCATCACTTATCTCTATTAGTTGATCATGTAACCAATTCGCATACTCATTTTCACCCGTTGCTGTATCTGGCCATGGCCATCGAATCCATGATGAATCTTCACCATAGCAAATTCCATCATCGTGTGTTATTTCTCGTATATCAACAACAGGACAAACAATAAATGGTGATGATTCATCAGTAAGATCTTATCTCTCATCTTCATTCATTTTCAATAAAACAACAAATAATTCATCAGAAGCATTTCTAATGATTACAAGATTTTTCCTATATTTGTATGAACTCCTCTTAATAAGTCTATCCAGTTGTAGTAATTGTTCATATGGGAAACCATCTACATTTAATAGCCAAAGCTCTTCAATGACATATGCAGTAGTGTCAAATACGAAATTTGAATTCAAATATTCAAATATTCAAATATTATACTTGAATATTTTAGTTCAAAAATATTCAAATATTGGAAAACTTTAATCGAAAAATATTCAGATATTCGATTAATGGGATATTTTAGTCGAAAAATATTCAAATATTCAATTATTCAATTATTGCCGTTCTCCGGTTGTATCAGTCAAATCACAGGAATTTCTTAAGAGTATGTGCTCTATATCAATCACCTATTCTCTAAAGTATTTGAACATTTTTCAAGTGTAATATTCCAAAAATCTGAATATTTGAATATTTGAATATTTGAATATTTTTCAACTAAAATATTCCAATAATCGAATATTTGAAAACTTCAAGTATTGAACTATAATATTTGAATATTTGAATATTTGAATTCAAAATTCTGGTATTACACTTATGAAGTATAGAGAACAGCACTTTTGTATCGATTTTTTCGTAAAAAAAGTGATAATAAATCATCAAGTCAATATGGAACGAATTTTCAATTCAAATATTTTGTTTCGACATTCAAAAATGATCCAAATATCTATGAATCGAGACAAGATTTTCAGACTTTCCATGTTTTGTGTAAAATACTCACTATCAGTAATACAGAGTCTTTAGGTGCAAACAGTACGACTTGACTAATATCAATATATCCTTCGATTATCTTAAAAAATATGCTTTTATCACAGAAGAAAAACAGCTTTTTTATTAAATGCAGTATAACTAATAGATTAGTATCGAACGATAAAAAAAAATTATTTTCATTTTGAAGAAAAGAAAAAAAACGTTTTATTATCAAAAGAAACGACACATTTGTTTTTATTCTTTTTATTCTATTCTGTAACATTCGTGAAATATGATAGATGACGAGTATGTTTATGAAGTTATCAATAATGAAACTACTGCATATATTTGTGCTCAACTTCTTGCTGAAGAATTTTGTGCACATAATCCAATTACAGTTTTTGATCAAATAACATCAAAATATTTTTTTGAAGAATGTGCATGGCCATTAATGAAAGATATGATGGATGAAGGGTTATCATTTCTTGCAAGGCATCGTTCCTCGAAAGAAATTGTTGGTGCTGTTATAGCTGGTGATCTATATACATATCATCATAAACATCCATACGATTCTGCGACCCCTCCACAAGCAATTGCCGCTTCTGATTTACTTGATGAAATGGAAAATCTTTTTATTATACAAGATTTTGGACGAGCATTAAAACCAAATTTAGTTTTACATATAACTTTAGCTGCAGTTCGTGTTGAACATTCTGGTAAAGGTGTAGCAAGTCAAATGAATATGGCTATGTGTGATTACGCACGAAATACAAAAGGATTTCAATATGCTCTTGTACAAATAACAAATCAAGTAACACGACATATTTTTGTGAATAAAATGAAAGGAAAAGAAGTGACAACTATTGATCCTACAGTTTGGTTATGGAAAAAGAAAGATGATGGTTTATTGTGCCCTTACAAAGATTATACACATGGATTAGTACCGAACATTCTCATTGACTTAAATGCAGACAATGAAATTTAATATTATAAAGTTGTTTAAGTGTTCTAATCATTAGATATAAGCGGTGATTGTAATATTATTATAAATAAAATTTAAAATTCATCTTATGAAATAATATGTTTTTTTTTCAAATTCTAATTAGTATGCTTAACAGTGTACGTATCTTGTCGATTTTTAATCATTATTGTCACGTAATCGTACAATATATTGTTCATATTAGAGCAAACATATCAAATGACTTATAATTTATTTTATTCTCATTTTCAAAATAAAAAAAAAGGTTATTTATATGTATATCGATTTTTGAATCATATACGTAAAATAATTTAAAAAATATTTATCGAACTATATAGATATTATTTTTGTTTTTCAAATTTAAGTGAAGCAGAATTGACACAATGACGTTGTTGAACTATTTTACCATTAGCATCACGTAATCCTTCACCTTCAAATACATGACCTAAAATGTAAAAAACCTATTGTTATTAATCATATAGATAGCACCTGGCTAGCTGAGTAAAAGTATGTATAAGTCATTTTTAACCCTTTCAGGACGGGACTATTTTTTTTGAAAAAAAAAATAGTTTTTAAACAATTAAATGGTTCTGTTTTTTATTCAAATTTATGTGATATGCTGTGTACACGATCGGATCACCTAACAACACTATGCTCACCTGCGTATGCAAAAGAATAAATCAGGAAGATACAGCATAATAGTTTAGTGCATAGAAGAAAAGGAAAAAAGTAGGTCATAATTACGCAAGTCATATAAGATATAGATCACTGCTATAAGTATATTCTAACGTGTACACAACTACTTCCCATCGTCAATACATAACATGTTTCTTTTAGAAAAAGACTGATATATACGGTGTACCACCCGTCCCGAAAGAGTTAACCAATCTTAAAAGTTATAACTCATTTATTCATTAAATCAACCGAATAACAAGTATTCACGATCCTTCTAGTTACAATATATAGTAAAAATCTCTCCAGAGTATATCGCTTTAAATGAGTGTATATAATCTATTGAAGTGAACTGAATAAATAAAACTATTAATTTATCTGTATTTTTCTTTTAAGTAACTAAGATGTACACAAACCTAAATGACCATCACATTTTGCACATAAAATCTCATTACGATGACCATCTGTGTCCATTTGACGTCGAACTGCTGTACCTATTGATGAACTAAATGCTGGCCAACCACAATGTGAATCAAATTTTGATGAAGAACTAATTTATAAATATTTATATTCATCTATGTAAGTCATACGAAATATCTTACTCATATAATTCTTGTTCACAACCAGCACATTTATAAATTCCTGTTTGAAAATGTTTATTATATTCTCCTGTACCAGGATATTCTGTATCTTTCTGACGTAATATACGATATTGTTCATTAGTTAATTTTTTCTTCCATTCTGCATCAGTTAAATTAACTGCAGGTAATTTTTGTTGTTGTTTATTGTCTGATGATGAAAATATATTTAGTCTTGAAATTAAATAAACAGGAAAAAATATCAAATGATTAAAATGTATTTATATCATACTTGCTATTATATAAAAGCAAACCAGAACGTCGAGAAAGAGAATTTATCGAACGTAACATTATTAAAATCTGAATCAATACAATATAATATATTCATAAAAGTTATTTCATGTTAATATAAAATTTATTTTTTTTATAATTTTATTATAGAAAAACAAAAAAAAAGAAAAGTTAATCATAGTTCTACCATAATCCTCGACGTGTGTATCCTTTAAGTATACGGAGTGAAGGAAAACCTAAAATAAATGTTTGAATTATCCATAGATAAGTTGATTCTTGATTGATATTAAGTTGTCGACAAATAGTACGTGCAACAAATGCTTCGTAAAGATGTGCAATAAATGTAGACCAAAGAATAAGAAAAAGTAAAATACGATAATTTGATATTAAATAATATGATAATTGACCAAATGATCCCAAATAATCAAAAGGTATTGCATATGGCCAATGAACCAAAAGAAATAAATAAATAATGCATGTTGGAACAATAATCCACCAGATTATTTTCGGAGATTCAAAATTTTTAACCATCTAAAGTTTAAACAACATATTTCTATCTGAGTCTTATAATCATTTGAGAAGTGTATTCGACTTATTTCTGATAGTAATTTCTTTACTTATTGGCATCTTAAAATCATCATATGAAAAATGAAAGATGTGTGCAATTTGATATACGATAGCAAAACACTGAGACTGACAATGTCATTGTAAAATATCCTATATTATAATTACAAATAAAGTAAAATTTCTTATGTTTTTTTTTGTTTTTGTTTTTTTTTTATCAAATTTAACAAATACATGACAACAATGAAGAAATAATCTTTTATGATTTGTTTCAAAGAAAACAAACACATATACAATGTCATATAACATACGCTTCGAGGACAACAAAACAATAACAAAACAAATTAAACAATGCACGTACAAAGGATATAATAATAAATATTTCACCGAACACGATCTGTATTGCGATAACTACAATTATCACGTAATGAATCATTATGTGTCTTGTATTCAAGTGGACCTAAAATGAAATGAAATCTTTAGACTACGCTTAACGTCACTGGATATGTAAGAAAAGAATTGTAGTATAAATCTATGTCTTACATTCTAGAGGTAGATTAAGAACTTTTTTCAATGTTTCTTTGATTCGCTGCGTAATTAATTGATTATTTGCTGTTTTTGTCCATACACTAATAAGATCTTCTTGGGGACGTATTGAACATACAATTCCACATATTTCTTTTCCAACATTAAATTGTTCTCCAATAATAGCAAATACAAGTAATTCCCATAAACGAGTTGATAAACCTTTTTTCAAACGTAATATCCATTTACCACCAAGCCGATTTCCTTCTTCTTCCCACATTGGTTTTAAATTTTCTTTAAATAGATGTATATCACTAGAAAAAAAAAATTAATACTTGAATTTTATCAAAATATTTTGTATTAAATATGAAACCTGTAAAGTGGAAGTTCTGATGGAAATTTTATATGATCATAATAGCACCAAAATTCTTCTATTGAACCAAATGTACCTATAGATAATTAAAATCTTTTATTAGAAAATAGTGAGAATAAAAATAACGAACCAAGCTTTTTTAAACATGAATCATAATTAACTGAACTATTACGAAATGTTTGTGGTCGATGTGTATACCAGAATGTCCAACGTCCTTCAAGTAAATGAAATGGACTATCACTAATATTGCTATTATTTTCATCTTTTATCGGTGGTGAATTTTCTATTTTATCATTATCTTCTGATATAATTTCTCCATCATGTATTGCATTTGTCGCCATTTTTATATCAAGGAAAATAAAACAATGGAAGATAATATGATTAAATATACGAAAATAACTTCATACACCGATAATAAGGTAAATCAATCAAAAATAAAAATGAATAGAATGATACATATTCTATTGGATAAATTATCTACACCAATACATATTATTTATAATTTGGATTATTGTCTACAAACGACATCTATTGTGTTCATTATCAACAGACCTTGTTCTTTATTATGTCCTAATGTCTGATTAATGTTCTTCGTTTCATTATATTACCGGTCTCAAAGTATGTATTGATTTTTTTGTCAATACATCTAACTAAATATAATACAAAAACTATAAATAAGTATATTCATTGCGGAACGAAATTATCTTTATTATTTAAAGAAAAAGAATTTATTAGATTTGTAAATTAATCACAGTTTAGCCAAACGTACAACGGCTTGTGTTAAATAATAATCACCGTATGCTAATGATACATCATATGGATTCTTTGGATATGGACCTTGTGTTCCATTAGCAAGTAAAGCATATAGTTTATATTCTTTATTACCATAAATCATATATGTTGCACTTGATAATTCATTAACAATTGCTTTTGCATTTTCCAAAAACTTATTTTTCATATCAGATGTTGGTGCATATTCAGATAATTCCACAAGTGCACTAGCAAAAATAGCTGCTGCTGATGTATCTCTTGGTTGATAAGTTAATGTTGAATTATGAATAGCATCATAGTCCCAGTATGGAATTACATCAGTACTGTTTGGGAGATGTGTTAGAACATAGTTTGCTGCACTAATAGCTTTATCAAGAAATGGTTGATATTTTGTATAACGATAAGCAATGGTAAATCCATGAACAGCCCATGATTGTCCTCGAGACCATGTTGACCAATCAGCATAACCTATAAACAAATATTTTTATCAATTTTATTTGAAAAAAAGAATTTAAATCTTTTTTTACCTTGGGCAGTATATTTACGAATAACACTTCCATCAGTTTCATTATATTCAACAACATGATAAGTACTATTATCATCTCGAAAATGTTCATACATAGTTCTGTTAGCATGTTGCCAAGCTATATTATATAATGATTGATCTTTTGTTTGATTACTAGCTTCAAATAATAATTCTAAATTCATGATATTATCAATAATAACTAAAAATCCTTGTGCACTATTCCATGATCGTGTACATCGAACAATAGGTGAATAACGAGTTGCCAATGATCGAGCAGCAGTTATAATAACATCTAAATATTCTTGACGTTTTAACAAACGATATGCATTACCAAAACCAGACATAATTACAAAACCAACATCATGTGTACCTGTTACGTTAGCAAAAGGAGCTGTTGGCGTTGTAACATCTACAGCATGTTGTAAAAGTTGACGAGTAGCATTATGTTCTACAATATTCCAAAGAACACCTGGAAAAAAACCTTGTGTCCATCCACTAGTAGCTGTTGTTGATTTCCAATCTTGATCTAATGGATTACCATAAGATGGATAAAATGTTCCTTGTGAATCCACAAATTCATTATAAAGAATTGAATATTGAACAGATGCATAACGCATAACATCAATAGTAATTACTCCGTTACATATCAACAAGAAACTGGTAAAAACTAAGAGGAGAGTCATTCAAGAATGATAAGTAAAACAAAATATTGTGGTTGATGTGAGAAGCATGCTTTATATATATATGCTTGGATATTGACATTGTTCTAAAAATAGTAATTGATAAGAGTTGTCGTACTTCGGCTGTATTCTTTAACTAAGAATATTATGATATTAGCAAAGAAAAACTCCAAGATTTGACTTATTATTACAATAAATGCTGAAATTATTTAATTATGACAATATCGATTGTCTAAGAACTCTTGATGATGTTTACAATACAAAATTCTTTATCTTCACTTTTATTAATAAAAAAAGAACAAATATAATAATAAGATATTTGATTTATTCATTATCACTCATCTTGCTTTTTAATGGTCGTTGTTGACTTATTGACAATGGATCATTTGAATTTGATATATCTTCATCGGTTACTAATCGATTATATCGACGTTTGTTAATTTTATTTGTAATTGATCGATGAATACATAATGCAACAATAAATAATAGAAATGCAACGATTGTTTCACCTGAAATAGTTATATTATGTATTAATGAAAAACTCGATGGTGGTTCATGTATATAATGTCCTCCACTAATCATTGATAATAAACAATATAATGCGACTACAATAAACATATTCAAAGATTTTGTTGGTTGTTTCGTACAACATAATAATAATTTTCGAGTTGCAATCATAAATAAAATTGATAGAGGAAAATTAAATAAAAATGTTTGTTCCATTTCACTAAAAACTATTTTTCTATAGAGAAATTTTGGTTCATGGTATCCTGCAGGATCATAAATATTATGAGCATAATGTGAAACATGAAATATAATATTTAAAAATAATAAGAATGGTACTATTATTCTATAGAATAAACTTTGTTTGAAGATTAATTTATATTTAATATATGTGACTATTAAATTAATTAATGTACCAATACCAATAAGAAAACATATGATTACCATAATGATTCGAATTGATGGAAGATGTTCGATTGATTCAGATACCAATACTTCATCATTACGAAATGTACTCATTCGAAATATTGGACCAGATTTAGATGATATTGTTGTATATCTCATGTTTATCTAAAGAAAGAATAATATGATTAAGAAACACATTAATCGTATGTGAAAAGTCAACAGTCGATTTCAAGTTAAATGATAACAATGAAAATGTGAATATATCGAATAAAAGTAAAAGAATATCCATAGATTACCTAACCTCTACAACGATATTGATTTTTCGTCCGTAGACGTCGTAGATATATTCTTTACTAGAAAAATTATTTAATTATTCTACTTTCAGTGAATGAGAATATATCTATGTATTTTATATACACAATAAACATCTACATTTGTTGATAGATTATAAATTTTACATGTTCTGTAAATTGTATTCATTCTGAGATTGTATCAGACAGGAAAGATTTTTTGTTTTGATTTTAATATCAATTAATCCATTTCGATCGGAGAACACAAATTAAAATGTAGTCATAATAATAATCAGTATTGATTAAGATTTGTATTCTGCAAAAGAAAAATAGTAATAAATTTCTCAATTGGAATTGTCATTGCGTAGATGATTACCATTTATTTGGTATTTCTGTTCGACAATCATTGTTCTATTCGTTATTATGTATATGAAACAATAGTTATCGTAAAAAAGTTTCTGACTACAGTAAAATCTTCCTATAGAACATGAATGAGACGTACACGAGAGAGAAAAAGAGACATCGACCTCGAAGGCGAGTGTGAGTCTATCCCTCACCCATACTCTTAACTACTAATATTATTGATGTTCGAATGTCGATGGTAGTGATGATATTTTGATATGTTTTCAATGGTTGAATCGTCATCTTTCCACTCGCGATCATTCATTTATTTTCAACTTTTTCTTTGTTCTCTTATATCCGACTATATGCCATCTGTGAGAAAGTAAATAAAAATACAATGAAGGAATACGGTGACCGTATTCGGGTCAGATTGTTCGATCTGGGTCATACAAAAAAAAGTTGTTTCAACTTTGTGAATTCTCAAATAACAAACACCACTTAACAATATTTTTCTCTGTGAGAACAAATGAAATAATTCTTTTTCGAGGCCTATTTCGATGTTTGTTCTTTATAGCAACATCAAACACAGTTATAGAAAAAAACAACGTTTTGCAAGAGAATAGGCACCTATAAAAAGATTCGTCTTTCATCATTACTTTACTCACAGGTTTTGTACAGTAACTTCAATTCAAATCATTCACGTAGCATACAATGAACAAAAGAAAATTAACAACAGATGGATGTGGGTGTCGTTTACACTCTCATTACTTTTAGTAAATATTGAATCACCAACACAAAATCAAAACTTTTATTTTAGATAAAATTAATATAAATATTTAGAAATGACTTGGATATGGTGGATTTTTATCGTTAGTATCCTTATAAGTACGTGAAGCTGCTAGATTGTTCTTTCTTAATTAATGTATTCTGATTTTTTTTCGAATATTTAGTAATTTTATATATTTCGAATATATATTATTGGTCTGGTACACGATGCCCATCATTCGATCGAATGGATGGAAAAACTGTTATTATTACAGGAAGTAATACTGGAGTGGGAAAATATACAGCTATAGAATTAGCAAAGCGAGGTAAACAATATTTGTTATAGTTTGGAAAAAGATATTTTTCTATTTTATTTTACAGGTGCTCATATAATCTTGGCTTGTCGTGATCGAAAACGAACAGAAGAAGCATTGAAAGAAATATGTAAATTATCAGGAAGTAATAATGTAGAAATTGAAATTATTGATCTTGCTTCATTAAAATCAATTCAAGAATGTGCTAAACGTCTTTGTGGAAGATTATCCAAATTAGATGTTCTGATAAATAATGCTGGTAAATAAATACGCAATATTAGTTTCTATTATTAATTTGTATCTATGTTTAGGAGTAATGATGGCATCAGAAAAATCTGTTGATGGTTACGAAATTCATTTTGCTGTTAATCATCTTGGTCATTTTCTATTAACAAATCTTCTCTTAGATTTAATGAAAAATGCTCCATCAGCTCGAATTATTAATGTATCATCTACAAGTCATGCTTGTAGATATTTCTTCTTTGTAATGAATAAAAAATTTTTTTTTCTTTTTATAAATTAGTTTTAAATATAACAATGAATTGGGATGATATTAATTTCACAAAGCCCTATTGGAGAATCAATGCTTATTCACATAGTAAATTAGCAAATATTTTATTTACAAATGAATTAGCACGAAAATTACAAAGTTTATTTGATTTTTTTTTGTAATATATAAATGTATTTATTTTTATATTAAATTTCAGATACAAATATTACTGCAAATAGTCTGCATCCTGGTAAATGAATTTTTAAGACAAATTCTTCCATCAAAAAAGATATTTTCTAGGTTGTGTTCAAACTGAAATCGCTCGAAACATATTAGGAGGTCATTATCAAATAATATTAAACACATTAATTCTTATTTTAACACCTATATCGTATTATTTAACTAAAACTCCTGAACAAGGTGCTCAAACATCTATTTATCTAGCATCTGATCGTCGTTTGGATCATGTAACAGGAAAATATTTTAAGTAAGTTATTCACTTAGATCTTTCCTATTCCTTATTTGTTTTTCTATTATAACGGAAATATATAGGGACTGTAAAGAATGTTCATCATCAAAAACATCACTTGATCAACAAGCTGCCAAACGTCTTTGGAAACTAAGTGAAGAAATGACACATTTAGATGATGCATTAAAATATGTGCGAAATAATTAAACAAAATAATCTTCTTTTTATTTTCCATTTTATAATAAAATATTTTTTTCATCAATTGTATTAGACATAAAATGAAAATGATAACTCATAGTAATGAATATTGTTCTTATTGTCAACAATCATCTTGAGGGTGTGGGTGTGGGTGTGTGCGTGGGTGTGGGTAGGGGTGTGGGTATGAGTATGGATGTGGGTGTGGGTGTAGGTGTAGGCAGTTACCTTCTCTTAATCCTCAGCCACACCCTTGCTCTTACCCTATTCCACTGAGTGCTACCCGCTCCTACCTTATTTCACTCACTTGTACCCAGTTCTATTCTTTCATCCATTCCCCCCACAACTACATTCACACCCACACCCACACCCTATACCCATTTCCACACACCTACACTTTACGCCCGTTTCCAATCACACTCATACTCTTCGCCCATTTCCATACATTCTCACCCACTTCTACCTTATTTCACCCATTCCCACCCAGTTCTACCCTATTTGACTTTTTTCCACCCACTTCTAGCCTCTGTTAACGATTTCCACCGAGTCTACCCACTCTCACCCACTCTTACCCTATTGCACCTATTTCCACCCATTTCCACTCTGTTTCACCAATGCTAATCGTACTTTACCCACTTTCACTGATATCCCCACTCTCAAGTTATAAGGATTGCTCGATTTTATGATGGTAAAATCTGATTGGTTCAAAAAATTGACCACTCAGACGCCGGACAAACATCTAAATTTTCGTATTCCCAACACATCGTTACCAGACTGAAAATAAAAAGTACTGTCGAGAATTTTATTATTGCTATTATTCAATTATTTTTAAAATATCACTATGATATTTTAGTAAGTTTTTTTATTTTTTTTTATTTATCTTTTGCGTTCGCATTTATTTTCCAAACAAGCTCTTTTATTAAAAACTAAATGTAAAATCAGTCAGTAAACTGAATCATAGTGGACTTATAGTAAAAGTTTTATTTCATATGTTGAATCAATATCTTGCATGGGTACATGATTAGTCCTTACACAAAAGCTCCTTCACAATAAAATATATATCACTTGTTTAAATGAGAAAAACGAAGAAAAAACATTGATATAAAGAGTAAGGTAGTGAAAACAACAATGAGAAGAAAAGATAAGTAAAACTTCTAGAATGATATAAAAGCATGACGAAAACAACACAATAAAAAAAATAGAAGAATTCTTATAATTGTAAGTGTTTTTTTGCATAGATATTATACTGGAGAATAATAAGTCTCTATGAGAAAATACAAAAAAAATAAAGAAGAAATGCAATGAAAAAATCACATAAAGGAATATATAAAATTTGTATATATATATATATACATATATATCTAGAGTAGTAATTCTTCTCCTTCACCTACACAAAATGTCCGTTATTGTTCTTCACTATTTCTATTTAATGCCGTTGATTTAATCTTATTCTGTGTCTAATCAATGCAAAGTAATTCGACATAGCTTTACGCACTTGATGATCGGTTTGGGTATTATTCGGATGACATTGTTTTGAATAATCTATACAACAAATGCATATATAAATAAATTAGGAAAATGAAAAGGAAAATGAAAATAAAAATGTGCTGGCTCACAAACAATGGCATCGGCAAGTTCTGGATCTATATCGGCTAATTTGAAATTGACTGATGGATTAGGAAATTTATATTTTAAAATTGACCGAGCTGTTGCAGTAACAGTATTTTTTCTTAATCCTGACAAGTAACGCTCGTCTGCAGACTCGCTCAGCTCTTTCTCGTAGAAATCGTATTCTACAATACTAAACTTTTCGCTTATACAGTTTGGAAAAATTAACACTAGATTTGTGTTCTTCCAGCCCACTTATCCTTCGGTCACCCCTTATGAAAAATTTTTTTTATAAAAATTGGTTCTGGCCCTAAAAAAGTGATCCATAAAATTATTTTATAAAACTAACATCAGATTTGAAGTCTCCACATCGAAATGCCCAAAAAATGTCTTTTCTGAAAAATCGATTCTCGAATTACCCTCTGGTAAAACTTTCTTGGAACTATCTTTAAGATTAATAATATTAATTAATTATTAATTGATTTTTAACTAAAATTAAGCTCACATTCGAATTCTTGGCACTCGATTACCCTTCGGTCAAACTTTTTTCAAAAATTAATAATATCAATTAATTTAGTGATACCAATTATTAACTGATTATTAACTAATTCATTTTAATAAATCAATTTCAGATTCGAGTTCTCCATACTCAATTACCCTTTGGTCCAACTTTTCCGAAAATATTTCAAAAATTAATAATATTAATTATTAACTGATTATTAACTAGTTAATTTTGATAAACTAACCTCAGATTCAAGTTCCCCGCTCTCGATTATCCCCCAGTCAAAGTTTTCCCGAAGTATCTGGAAAATTTAATTTGAATGTTTTTTTGACCCTGCGGACACACAAGCAATCAATCAAGCAAGCAGACAATTTATGACTACTGGACTCTTCTCTACGAGAAAGAGAATAAAACATTTGGTTCAATTTGTAATGTCTCATCTGGATTTAACATTTTACCGTTTGTGACTTCCATAACATTGTTCTGATTACTGTTATTCATCTTGAGGGTGTGAGTTGATGTGGATTATAAAAGAGGAGAATATAACCATTCGAGTCTCTATAATGTCACCAACGATGCGTGAATTAAATAATTCTTCTAAATGCAATAAATGCTTTCTGTTCTCTCATTTGCTTTTCTTTTCAATTGCATAAGAGAGTAAGTTAATGTACTTGAAGTAATTCCACTTCAGGGTGTGTGGGTGTGAGTGTTGGTGTGAATGTGACGGACCAAGAGACTCACGCTATCGGTCACTGTCATCCCACCCCTAACCCACACTTTCAGGGATATTTGCTGTAAAAAAAAGAAATCATTAAAATTTCATAAAAGAAAAACGTGTCTAAGGAAAAAAGAGATAATTAGTATATCAAAACACACGCAAAGTCAGCTTCGTTTTGAATAGGAAATAATGGTGATAGATTAATCATTTAAAGAGTAAATATAGATGAAATTGAAAATAGATTATCATCTGAATTCGTATTTAAATGAATCTCAGCAATTTTCTTTATTGCGTTTAGTAGTATTTATATATTGTTATTTTTTCTTTATTTTAAAAAAATCTGCATGGTACAATAAACTTTTTTATGACTTTTTTTTATTGCAGTAAATTTCTTCACAGATATATTTAGATAATGATGTTGAAAGTTGAAAATGAAAATCAAATAACATCATCTAATGCAGATAGCGAGTCAAATGAAAGAACAACTTTTAAGTACAATAAGAACAAAAAAATACAAAAAAAAATAAGATCAGATAATGGTTATCACTTTAAAATGTTAACTAGTTTTAAGCTGTACTAACAGTTGAAGTATGTGTAGCACCATCGAAAACACCTTCACCTTTACCACTTTCATTTTTCCCATTATCATGATTAGTTGCTTTAGCGATTCTTTCCTTTTTATAAGTCTTCATTGAATGTTTGATAAAATTCATTACGTGACTAACTAAGCCATTTGT